TTATTTGGGTCGATGGAAATATCGACATGACAAATGAAGATTGTCAACATATACATTCGCCCAATTGCGCGCTATTGTTAATGAAGTTAACCCATGTACCACAGCCGAACAATGTATTAAAAAACTCCTGGAAAACAATAAGTTGAAAATATCGAAATCTAACCAAATGTATTTCCTTTGCTATTTTAGTAAATTTGATCGCACCGAAAAATGAAGCATGCCACTTTGTAGAGCAAGCCGCGCTCTATCTTTTCCACTATTTCACTTATTCGGGAAATTCCAAAACTTATATTTTTTTTCAATTAAAATGTAAGCCACTTTTCATTATTCTGAAATACTCATAAGTGGGTAGTCACTTGACTCTTCGTCCTCTTCCATTCATTCCATAGTAATTTCAGAATTTAAAGCAATATGGTTCTAGATACTACATTCAAAGCTGAATAAAACTAGCCTTTTAAGAAAGCTGTGTGATTAAGAAATTACGCATAATCAACACCAAGAAAAAGGAATGAAAAAATATCCAAAAATCATTTATAAAATTTTACACAATAAAAAAGCGATGAAAAGTTGACTTTCGGAAGTCATAGATGCTGAGGTATTTTCCGCAACAAAAATACATCAAAATGATCGCCTCACTGAGCTCTACAAACGTTAAAATTTTCACGTTGATAGAACATACTTCACGGAAACGTGGTAGAAATCCCATGGAAATATCCTTATATTAGTTGCATTTTACGAAAATAAATTACAATGAATAACACAAAATAATATTTGTAATAATGGAGAAGAAACAAAACTTATTATTAGTTCATTAGTAATGGGCATGATAACGAAAGTTTTGTTAATGCGTCAGTAACATCCTGAAAAATTAAATCGAGAACGTGTACGTCGATATCGAGAATGAGAGCAACGGGGAAATATAAACGAATATATGTGCTAAGTACGACAACAAAAACAAAAAATAGATAAGCACGTCGATCAAACAATGCCAATAATGAAGAGTTGTTATAAAGACATGAACAAATTAATTTAGCTTCTTCGGTTAAATCAATGATTAGAGAAATAAAAATAATGGCAAATTAAAAAATAAACAAACAAAATGAAAATAAGAAAATAAATAACGAACGAATAGCGACAAGCAAATAAAGAATAGAGCGCCCAGTAAAACAAATAAAGATAAAATATCTGTTAGAGATTCGAATATAAATAAGAGAAATCGTTTCTGACGATTGATTATTGTTGGAAAACAACTATCATCTATTAGATATTCACTTTACGTACTTTATATTAACATCATTATCCTGAAGAAGATATATGAGTTCCACATTTTAGCTTCAAAGGAATTGCTCTGACAAGGTTTTTTATTTCAATTCTAATGTTACATTCGATGGACATATTCAGATTCTAGTGACATCTATTGTAAAGTACCTTGTGTAATTTGTTGATAGATTCATCATCGTAGCCTCGTTCTCTTGTCTTATAGTGAGTCAGCAACTAGAGCGTTCTGTCTTGACTGTAATGGAGTAATATGTTTTCTTATTCACCGTGATAAATTTTTTCGTTCTGTTTGACAATATTGAATCAGTCTGAGCATCCTATATAAAGAAGCAACACGCCTGTCGACAGCATCCATAACATGCTTCGAATTAATCGCAATCGAGCCACGTCTATGCTTCTCAGGCATCCACAACAACCAGCGTATGTACCTTTGAAGCGAGTGAATATTGAAGCAACAATTCGTGCATTTGCTGCTGATGTGACCATTACACAAGTATTTCGCAACGATGAAAAAACACTGATCGAGGCTGTTTACTGTTTTCCAATAGAAGAACAAGCAGCAATCTACACATTTGCAGCTCGAATTGACGATCGAGAAATTGTTGCTCAATTGAAAGAGAAAAAAGAAGCACAACGAGAATATAACGATGCTTTGCAACAAGGTTATGGAGCCTATCTATTAGAACAAGACGAAAAATCTCAAGATAATTTTATCGTCAACGTCGGTGCTCTACCTCCATCGAAAGAATGCACAATTACCATCGGTTATGTAACAGAATTAGATCTTGTTCAAGGATCTACCATTCAATTTGTCATTCCTACAACCATTGCACCGCGTTACAATCCCGATAAAGGTGGCATTTCATCGCCAGCCGGTACCACTTCTAAATACGTTCAATCAAGTCCGTATACCATCGACTTTCGGTGTCACATTGAAAAGACGCTTGGATCTCAGCTAGGACAAATTACTCGAGTTAGTTCATCCTCACATCCGATCGAAATCAATCTTGCACAAGAAGATTCTTATATTGTGACATTCGCTCAGCAGAATACTCATTTAGATCGAGATATTCTGATTAATATTGATCTATCCGATAAACGAAATAGCACCATTGCAGCTGTGGAACCCGGTGCTGTAATGGTTGCTTTTATTCCAACTGAAGAAGACTGTCGACAAGCAGCGAAAAATGATTTAACAAATGAATTTATTTTTGTCGTCGATTGTAGTGGATCAATGCAGGATAAAAACAAAATCGAATTAGCTCGACAAGCCATGTTACTCTTCCTTAAGAGTTTACCTGTCAATTGTCATTTCAATATTATCCGATTTGGCTCTCAATATAAGACTCTATTCAATGAGGTTACCGCAGTTTACAACGAAATTAATGCTCAACAAGCCGAACAACTCATCCAACAAATGCAAGCAGATCTTGGTGGGACTGAATTGGTAAGTTTGATTTCTTTTCC